TTCTTCTTCTTCTTCTTCTTCTTCTTCTTCTTCTTCTTCTTCTTCTTCTTCTTCTTCTTCTTCTTCTTCTTCTTCTTCTTCTTCTTCTTCTTCTTCTTCTTCTTCTTCTTCTTCTTCTTCTTCTTCTTCTTCTTCTTCTTCTTCTTCTTCTTCTTCTTCTTCTTCTTCTTCTTCTTCTTCTTCTTCTTCTTCTTCTTCTTCTTCTTCTTCTTCTTCTTCTTCTTCTTCTTCTTCTTCTTCTTCTTCTTCTTCTTCTTCTTCTTCTTCTTCTTCTTCTTCTTCTTCTTCTTCTTCTTCTTCTTCTTCTTCTTCTTCTTCTTCTTCTTCTTCTTCTTCTTCTTCTTCTTCTTCTTCTTCTTCTTCTTCTTCTTCTTCTTCTTCTTCTTCTTCTTCTTCTTCTTCTTCTTCTTCTTCTTCTTCTTCTTCTTCTTCTTCTTCTTCTTCTTCTTCTTCTTCTTCTTCTTCTTCTTCTTCTTCTTCTTCTTCTTCTTCTTCTTCTTCTTCTTCTTCTTCTTCTTCTTCTTCTTCTTCTTCTTCTTCTTCTTCTTCTTCTTCTTCTTCTTCTTCTTCTTCTTCTTCTTCTTCTTCTTCTTCTTCTTCTTCTTCTTCTTCTTCTTCTTCTTCTTCTTCTTCTTCTTCTTCTTCTTCTTCTTCTTCTTCTTCTTCTTCTTCTTCTTCTTCTTCTTCTTCTTCTTCTTCTTCTTCTTCCTTCTTCTTGCTCACAGAATTCAACGTTTCTCTTGCTTCATGTCTCTTCCTTTCGCAACGAACAAAATTACAGGGTGTGATGTGTAAAATTTAATTACGCACATTTGCGTTGCTTGATTTGGATTTTGTCGACTGCACAGCCTAGTAGGGTGACTTGGAAACCGTCTTTGAGAAAAAAGAGTATCATGACGCAATTCACTCCCCTAGAAGATTGGAAACGGCATGCTGTACTCCTTGGGATTTTCATAAGAAACGAATATTTCAATCTTAGGACAGTGCAGAGGATTCGGAAAGAGATGAATCTAATAGTTATTACGCAGGTGTCTAAAGAGGTCATAACTGGTGGCGACGTTATACCTCCATTCATCTTCCCATAAGGCCTCACTCAGCACGGTGGACTACATCAAGTACTTTGAAGATGTAGTGTTGTCCTGGGTCAAGCGGATGGCTGTTGGAAGACCCTATGTCCGGCAACAGGACTCTCATTATCCTACACAAGGAGGAAAACCCATTCATGTGTGTCAGGCAATTTCTGCGATCACACCGCCTTTACTTCTGGCCACTCAACTCCCAGGACTTGCAACTTGATTATTATGTGTGTGTCGCAGTTGAAGGAGAGACCAAAAAACTCCCTGTAACACCAAAGATGAACTAAAGGCAAGTATTATGGCAGCATTCACCAAATTAAACAAAGAGACCGTCCAGAAGAGATATAGGAGATTCTGAAATCGCCTGGAGATCGTGGTTGAAGTTAAGGGCGATTATATTGAATAAATTTACTCTTTAGTATAATTTTAGTGTAATTTTAGTAAATGTATCTGTTAAAATGAGATGTCAGTGTTATTTTCATTTTTGCGTAGTTTAGACGACAATTTATCCATTGCATCCTCTATGTGTTTTGGTATAATAATAATAATATAATATATAACGGTCGAAACAAATATTCGGACACATAGAGATTTTTAATTTATTGTATTTCCAAGTAATGAATAAACATACTTTTCTTATAATTAACTGTACACAGACTCATAATAATTGATATGCATAAAAATAGACAAAATGTTGATTTAATACAAATAAATCCCATTTATCCATTTTAATGGATTAAAAATATTCGTACAATGGAATTTTCAGATTTTAAAACTTTTAAATTGATTTAATATTCTAGATTATTCAATTGGAATATTCTGGAATGTTCCAATAATATTTTCAGTAGTGATTTGTAGCCTAAAAATGCAAGCAGGACATTCTGTAATTGATATTCATGCAAGAAGGTTTCCATCATGGCAATAGATATAGAAATGACAAGTTCGCAAAAAGAACTAATTGTTAAGATCTAGAAAGAAGGTAAAAGATACAAGAAAATATCAGACAATCTGTATAATCCATCTACTACCATTAGTTCATTCATTGCAAGGTATAAAGAAACTCAAAACTGTTGAAGTCAAAGAAGAACAGGTGCTTCACAGAAGATAAACCGAGATAGATAGATATATAGACAGACAGGTAGACGGACAGATAGATAGATAGATAGATAGATAGATAGATAGATAGATAGATAGATCATCGAGGAAATTAATGCGTCACCTTAAACAAAATCCAGTGGTTACTCATTGGTTACAATAGTTGGAGTATGAATTACTTTCATCTGCAATCTGTATCACTAAACGGACAATAAACAATGAAATTCATAAGAACAATCGAACGTCACGCTCCCTTCGAAAAATTCCACTGCTGTTGAAAAGACACAGAGAAGCCAGATTGAAATTCCTTCTTGAAAATAAGAATAAGGAAAAGTCATATTGGGAAAGAGTATTATGGTCAGATGAAACTAAAACTGAGTTGTTTCGACGTAATTCTAGAAATCATGTATGAAGGAAAGATGGCGATGCCTTCAAACAAAAGAACATAGTTCTGACAGTGGAATTTGGTGGTGGAATCATCTTGGTTTGGGGAGATTTTTCTGCAAAAGGTACTGGCAAGATACCAGTAATAGATGGTAGAATGAATGCCGCAGCATATCAAAATATTTTTGAAGCAAATTTAACGATTTCGGTTGAAAATCTTGCACTTCCTCTTAATTGGATCTTCCAACAAGATAATGATCTTAAGCACACTGCAAAATCTATGAAGAAATGGCTTGCTGAAAATAATAAAATATACTGAAATGGCCAAGTCAGTCCCCAGATTTAACCTCAATTGAGAATTTGTGGCGTCATTTGAAAATTCAAATCCAATCGAGAACTCCAACAAACATACCGAATCTGAAGACTATATGCAAAGAAGAATGGAACAAAATACCAACTAAAATTTGCAAATCACTAATTGAGAACTACAAGTAGAGGTTGGTTGCTGTATAAATGAATAATGGCAAATTCAAAAAAGTATTAAATGAAGATTATGTATTCTTTTTGTATTGTCGAATACTTTTTCATCCATAAATATGGATAAATGTGATTTATTTCTATTAAATCAATTTTTTTTCTGTTTTCCATGCATATTTAGTTATTATGCATCTGTGTAGAGCAAATTATATGTAAAGTATGTCTATTCATTAGTTGAAAATACAATACATCAAAAATGTGTCTGTGTACGAATATTTGTTTCCTCCTTACTGTATGTGTATTCCTTCATATATTTGTATATTTAGGCAGCAGTCCATCGTTCATGCATTTTTCATTAAAAACGACAGACAAGGTGGTACGGTTAAGCTTTTTATTTAATTTTTCTAGTGTTCGAACAAGAGCTTTCTTTTCTGGACAAAGGGTGTGTAAGAACTGTCCAAATGTTTTATATTTCCGAGAGCTTTCGGCTATCCCTTTAGTCATTATCAAGGATGACTCGATTTTTCAGCTTAATTGAGTGTTTGTTTATATATATATATATATATATATATATATATATATATATATATATATTATGCATGTTTCATTAAAAATGACAGACAGGGTACTACGGTTAAGCTTTTTATTTAATTTTTCTTGTGTTCGAACGAGAGCTTTCTTTTCTGGACAAAGGGTGTGTAAGAACTGTCCAAATGTTTTGTACTTCCGAGCGCTTTCGGCTATACCTTTAGCCATTATCAAGGATGATTCGATTTTTCAGCTTAATTGAGTGTGTGCGTTAGGTGTATGTCTTAATGTGTGGTAGGGATGTTTTTAATTTCCGAATACGGTTAGCACATTGTGACTTTGTTCGTAGTTAATACTGTTAAGAGTTGGCCTTTTCTTTTTTATTATTAAAGCTTCCATTATTTTTAATCTTTTTTTTTGCAGGTGGATGCAGTTAATATATTTGTGTTTTCTACTAGTGTGTTTCTAATGGAGTCGGGTAAATCTATGTGTGTGTTTAAATGGGTTCTAATGGAGCTGTGATCAGATAGGTGTTCCTTGATAATGGCTAAAGCCGAAAGCGCTCGGAAATATAAAACATTTGGACAGTTCTTACACACCCCTTGTCCAGAAAAGAAAGCTCTTGTTCGAACACAAAAAAAGCTTTTTTTCGAACACAAGAAAAATTAAATAAAAAGCTTAAACGTAGTACCTTGTCTGTAGTTCATATATATATATATATATATATATATATATATATATATATATATATATCCAGGCATAACATGAATAAATGGTGTATAATTCCGCTTTTCGTATCATTTAATTAAAAAAAAAGGTCTTAGTACAGAGTAGCGCTTTATATTATTTATCAACATACCAATAATCTTGCTTGCTTTTGGAGGTCACATGATTGGCCCTTAACACAAAGTTATAGTGCGTGGCTTTCACCACCCATAATTCACCTGTTCAGGCTCTTCTTCAAAAATCGAATGCTTCTGAGGAAACATATCTACGGGACATTTCGGAAACATTCCCAGCTGGAATTCGAAACCGGTCGGCTGATTCCATTTCCATCACACCAAATTGAGCCTTATAACTTCTGTTCTAATTACTCTATTGTAATTCTGCGTTTTACTTCCTTAGTTAGCATGACCGTTACGCCCTGTCAATAAGCACATAAATAATGGAGAGAACAGTTTTAATCACGTGGAAAGACGGAAAAGACATAGCAGAGACTCTACCTGGTTTTAGTGAGAAAATGAAAGAAAGAAATATAGAAAGAGAGAAAGAAAGAACGGAAGATAGAAGTATTTAACGCATGTTTCACTGAAATAGAACAAGTTATCGATTTCAAATCTTTTTATTTCTGCCACCTTTCTTCTAAAAATAATTCATTTTTATTATTGCTATTACAATATTTTGTTGAAATTGTTAAACTATAATATTCCACGATGATATTTAAGATTGATTTTCGTAGATGAATAGATAGATCGATAAATATATAGATAATGAATAGATAGATAGATAGATAATAAATAAATAAACAAAGATAGATAGATAGATAGATAGATAGATAGATAGATAGATAGATAGATAATATTTAAGGAACAGATGAATTTCGGTTCTAAATAAGTGTTCGTTCCTTCGTCACGGGAAGCAGACTAGAAATACCCGATCTGCCGGATACGTAAACCATTATTTGCTCGACTTCTTTCCAATAAACTCTGCCCTTTTTATTAGAGCCGCGCCGCAACGTATTTCGAAAGCGTCCATCTTGAGCTGCGATGGCGCCAACAAGTGGACATAAGTTAGATTAGTTAATCGGTCGACCTCCTCTCGCCATGAATCTTCACAATTATCTCGATTAAGATGGCAAATCCCATTAACCATTCACCTCATAAGGATGTAGAAATTATCTCAAATCATATAGAAGTACATATATGTCTCCTGGAATATATGGTTACGGTCCACTTCGCCAGTATATAAAACACACACTAATACGTAAAGATAGATAGATAGATAGATAGATAGATAGATAATGAACAAACATAGATCACGAAAAGACATAGATGTATACATGGACAAAGAAACGTAGGTAGATTGATAGATAATGAAAAGACATAGATACATAAATAGACAACGAACAAAGAAACATAGATAGATAGATAGATAGATAGATAGATAGATAGATAGATAGATAGATAATGAACAAAGAAACATAGATAACGAAAAGACATAGATAGATAGATAGATAGATAGATAGATAGATAGATAGATATAGATAAACAATGGGCAAAGAAACATAGATAATGAAAAGACATAGATAGATAGATAGATAGATAGATAGATAGATAGATAATGAACAAAGAAACATAGATAACGAAACGACATAGATAGATAGATAGATAGATAGATAGATAGATAGATAGATAATGAACAAAGAAACATAGATAACGAAAAGACATAGATAGATAGATAGATAGATAGATAGATAGATAGATAGATAGATAGATAATGAACAAAGAAACATAGATAACGAAAAGACATAGATAGTTAGATAGATAGATAGATAATGAATAAATGAAACATAGATAACGAAAAAAGATAGATAGATAATAGATAGATAGATAGATAGATAATGAACAAATGAACATAGATAACGAAAAGACATAGATAGTTAGATAGATAGATAGATAGATAGATAGATAAACAATGGGCAAAGAAACATAGATATCGGTCTGACTTAATGAAGGTGAGTTTCACATACTAAATTATGTTAGACAATCAATTAAACAATTAAACATCCCTCAGACACACACACACACACACGCATACATACACACACATACACACACACACAAATATATATATATATATATATATATATATATATATATATATATATAAAATTTCTTCGACATACACACACACACACGCAGACACATATAAATGTGTGTGTGTGTGTGTGTGTGTGTATTGTTAAATTTCTCCGAATAATTCTGAAGATAAAAAAAATTAAATTCAAAATATTAAAAAGGAGATGCTCCTATGTAATCTTTCTGGATATTGCTAACATTTTTTCTTTGCATGACGGCATACTGTTAAATTACCTGTTTAAAAACAAAAATAAAAAAATAACCAATATACAGAAGAAGCCTTACACAGGACTGTCCCCTTTGTTATATTTTGAATTTAATGTAACTGCAAAACATTTCGCTTTTAAACTTGATAAAGTCGCTTTGACAAAACGCGTCGGCAATATGTATATATATATATATATATATATATATATATATATATATATATATATATATATATATATGCCTTGAATTGTGACGTAAATGTCGACCTCAATATTCTGATCTAAAAATTCGAGTTAAGCCTATATCTATCATATATGTCAACCCCCAAAACATACGGTAAAAGTTCAAAAATGTAAGCTTACCGGTAAATTAATATAAGCTACATGATACATAACATGTGCTAAAACTACATAATGTCTCACAACGTGCCTGTATAGTGAGATACTAACCGTAATATCTTTCTATATGTGTTGTTTTGCAAACATCCTACAACACACACCGTTAGTAACCGTATATTGTATCGGTATAGCTTAGCAAACATTTAAAATTCGTCAGATCTACTGCTAAACACATGAAAGTCATCAACTTCTATAAAATATTAATACCATATACATCAGAACAATGAGTTTTTATAGTACTGCTACGTTTCATATGTTATTGTAAAACACAGTATTACTCATCCGCCATTTGCATTTTAATATAGTTGTTGGAGGCGATGTGTGATGCAGCGCAAATAGAATACTGAATTTATGTTAACCTCTGTGTTAATATACCTATAGTGAAATCATATATAGATAATCACCTACCTGGAAAAACCCCTCGTGTTTTTTTGTGTGCGATCTGCCGAAGAAATAATTACCAAAAAGTAGTTGACAAAAATCTACTTTACGGACTAGAATCTATGCTAATGTTTTTCCCTCCAGTGAATGGCGTGACCAATCAGAAAGGTCTCTCGGTAAAAAAAGCCGTTGTTTTTCCCTCATGTGAGGATTAGATTTTCTGAACTTGGTGGACGAACACGCATTTTTTGCTGGTTAGAATGAAGGTGGGATTTGTGACCCCATTTTGTTGTTTCTACGTTATCTGTTGGACTGTTACAACGGACTATCGTTTGAACTGTGATTTGGCTACAAGTGTTGCGGTCGAGAGACAGAAGAAATCTATTGCAGACGTTTGTTGTTACTATAAGCTGACAGTTTTCTTTCTTCTTTTTCTTTTCTTTCTTTCCTTTTCTTTACAACTACAATACCAAACATGTTCACCAAACACAATTTTTAGTTGGATATATTTGCCGCAGCTTGCTGGAGGTACGATAAGTGGTGTACAGTAACTGTTAGGAATTTTGTACTATTTGTTTACAATTCAGTGGTAAAGATTTGTTTTTTATTCCCGCCATATAAGTCGACCTGTAGTTTTGGAAAGCTCGACTTGTACGCCGCAATATACAAACCCTTATTTCCTTTTTCTATCCTTTGCTCCCTTGCAATACCTCTTACTCTTTGTTCTGCCGTTTATTTATGCAACTCGTTAGGCACGTTACACGTGGTTTCTTTCTGTACCTCTTGACTTCAATGTCCACTGTCAAAGATTCCAATCCTTTTTTCACCCCATTAAATATCTCGGAAATTTCAACTCTCTCCTTCTGATTATGTTTCTTTTTTATTGCCATTTCCTTGACACTTCCTCATTGTTCACATGTTGTGTCCAAGGTTTTCTCAGCATCCTTCTGTAGAATCAGAACTGTTTTGTCTCAAGTATCCTCTTCATCTGCGATATATAGGAGGATTGGTGTTATAATAGAAGTTCAGCAAATATTTTCATTGTTTTTAATGAAATTTTCCTGTTTCTTAATACTTTGTTTAGCTTTTGGAATGCATCTTTCGTTATTCAAATGTAACCACCTTTTTGAGTCACTTTCCACACGCTGACATGACACTACCCAATAAATTTCAACTTTTCTATCTGTTGATTCTGACGCCTCCAAATAAACAAAATGGTGTTCATACTTATAGTAAAAATCTGTAATTAAATATATCGTACGCTGGTTTATATATCTTTTTATAATTTTATCTCGAAAACAGTTCCTGATATTAAATAGAATATTTAGATAGATAGAAAGATTTGAACAGAATTTTTTTTTTAATGTTTTTTCTTATTTATTGTTATTTTATTTTTTTATTTTATATATTTCATTCATTTATACACTCTTCGGCCGTTCGCATCTATCAGAATATTTCAAAATTTGCGGCTCAAATTTTATTGTTAATAAAAAAAATGGCCGCTACTTGATACCAGCGTTTGTTTTGGTATCAATTTCTGTCGTGTTCTAGAGGGAAACCTTGAATCCTTAAGTTGCGAGTCAGACATTCTTGTATGTTTGCCCACAAATGAATACTTTTAAAATGGATGATACATATTCACCATGTTATCCTCTATAAATTTCGGAAAGGAGTAAGCGACAAAAAAAAAAAAACATCCAGAAATTTTATTTCAATCTTGCTCCAGTACTTCGGGCGGTCAAAAATTGGTTTGGCAGATTTCGTCAGAGTGATTTTGAGCTCAAAGATCAACCCCAATCCAGGTGAACTTCCGACATCGATGAAGACGCTTTGCTTACTATTGTGGAGAATAAACCAAAGATTTTGGCGGAAGAGATTGCTAAGAGTTTGCAAAGCGATATCTCATCTGCCTTTCGCCATTTGAAGAGACGGTTGTCCGTTTCAAAACTCGACAGGTGTGTGCCACATTCTCTGACGGGGCTGAAATCGATCGTGTTTCCGCGGCAATTTCATTGCTGTGCCATCAAAAAAAAGAAGCCGTTCGCAGACAGAATTAATACAGACGATGAAAAATTGATCGTTGTTGTTAACGTCGACGCAAGTGGAGCTTGGATCCAGCTTGTGAGTGCGCAGAACGCGGGTCTAAAGCGGGCCTAAAGCGGGATTGCAATCAATAAAGGTTATTCTGGTCGTTTTGTGGCATTACAGAGTGATAATTGACTTTACCCAGATGGACATACGCTTGACGAAGATCAGAGAGCACAACCTACGACGCGTTACGATAGTAACAACTAAGATGAAGAGAATAAATTACATGTAAATAACATAAATAATATTAATTCCTCATGCATTTAGCATGAGGAATTAATATTATTTATGTTATGCAGAGACTATCTTAGTCTGTTCTAGTTTATCCCTCTCTTCATATCTATCGGGTCATCTCATAAGTTCTGTCCGAATTTTACCTGTTTTTAAAATGAACGAAATTTAAAGAGGATTTTATAATGTCTAATGGAGCTGAACATTATTTTTATGTTTAGATGCATTTAAACTGATCAAATTTTATTTCAGAGAACAATAAAATTAAATTTTGTTTGATTAAAACCCTGCTAACATGGAAGTACCCAAGAATCATTTGAGGCACAGAATGCTTTATGAGTTCAAGAAAGAAAACTCAGCAGCCGAAGCGGCTAGAAACATTCACTCAGTTTATGGAGAGGAATGTGTGAATGAAAGAACTTGCAGAAGATGGTTTGCAAAATTCACTGGTGGAGATTTCACCCTTGAAGATGAAGATCGAACCGGACGTCCAGTTGAGTTTGATGAAACGATTCTTGAAGCAGCCCTTGAAGAAAATCCTGCTTTATCAGTTGAGGAATTGGCAGTCGTTCTCAGTTCAAACCATACAACTGTTCATCGTCATACAACTTCGTCCACCGCAAGGAAAGTTGGCTCCCTGAGCCGCGCCAGGAAGTTGTTCTCCCCGGAGTCGATCCTCCAGATCTACAAATCAGCAATTCGCCCTTGCATGGAGTATTGATGCCATATATGGTCTGGTGCCCCTTCTGTTTGCCTCGGGGTTCTTGATAGGCTTCAGAGGCGGATATACAATGTAGTTGGCCCTGCTCTGGCGTCTCGTCTACAGTCACTTTCTCACAGACGGGCCGTCGCCTCCCTCTGCCTGTTCTACAAATAGTTTCATGACAATTGCTCCTAGGAGCTGCATTCGCTGGTTCCCAGACGTCATGAGTTCAAGTGCCATACGAGGCTGGCATCCCGCTCTCACCCCTTCACAGTCGAAACTCCTAAATGTAGCCGTCTCTTCTACTTCAATAGCTTCATGTCTCGCACCTCTCGCCTGTGGAACTCCCTTCCCTATTCTTGTTTCCCTGTGAGCTATATTCTCCAGCTATTCAAGTGTAATGTCAATCGACATCTCCAATTGCCTTGATCTATCCACTACCCTCATCCTTTATTCTATCACTCCTATCTGATCGTGCTTTAAATTTTCTGTAACCCCTTGCGTCCTAGTGGCTTCCCGCCTTGCTTGGGGTGAAATGCTTAAAAAAAAAAAAAAAAAAAAAACTTGGAAAAGTTCCTAAACTTGGAAAATGGGTGCCTCATGAATTGTCTGAAAACAACCTCAAATCACGAGTTGACATCTGCTCTTCTCTCTATTCTCGCCAACTTGTTTCACCTTTTTTGGATAGACTTGTCACTGGCGACGAAAAATGGATATTTTATCGAAATGTTAAGCGTCGCAGACAGTGGCTTAGTAAAGGGGAAGGACCCCAGCCACAGCCGAGAAGGGAACTTCATGGGCAAAAGGTTCTTCTTTCAATCTGGTGCGATCGCCAAGGAATAATCCACTTTGAATTCTTACCACCTAATGCAACAATTAATGCTCAAATATACTCTCAGCAATTAGAGCGTTTGAACCAAGCTTTGAGGAAAAAATGACCTGCTCAGTGAATCGAAAAGAGGTGATGTTTCATCAGGACAATGCGCGACCCCACACAGCATAAATCACATCTTGCTCCTTCAGACTACCATTTGTTTCGTAGCTTACAGAATCATTTGGAAGAAACAGCTTTTGTAACACAGGAAGAGGTTAAAACTGACATTTGTGAGTTCTTCGAATCAAAGCCAAAAGAATTTTACAGTAATGGAATTAGTAAGCTTGTTAATAGATGGAAGGAAGTCATAGATAATCAGCGAAAATACTTTGTTGATTGAATCTGTAATTAAATGTAACATTTGGTCACTTGTTTTCTTTATTCAAAATTCGGGTAGAACTTATCTATCTATCTATCTATCTATCTATCTCAATCTATTAAATTTTAAATTTCATGTTTATATATATATATATATATATATATATATATATATATATATATATATTACTTAATTATGATTATTTCAAATGCTCCTAAAATTTTCTATACTTAACTCTCCTTGCGTGAACCGGCTGGATGGAGTGAGAAGGGATAGAAGACGTGGCTCGTGGGGGCACAGATCGCTGTGTTAGGGAAACTCGGATGAGTTGAACCACAGAATTTGTGAAGAGCGGCGTTATATCGAGTCTAATTAGTAACCCCTTTGTCACTGAGGCCCGTTGGTACAGTTTGCATGGCGCTTGCCTCGTATTGTCACGGTCTGGGTTCTATTCTCAGTTTTGAATGCTGATGAGTCCGAAAAATAGGACGAAACGGCCGTCCACTGCTTGCTGTATTCTGTTGAGAATTCTTCTAGACTCGATGAATTACTTAAGTGTGATTATTTCAAATCCTCCTACTAATTTCTGTACTCATATATATATATATATATATATATATATATATATATATATATATATATATATATATATATATTATTATATATATTATTTATATATTATATATGCGCGGTACTTATTGGAAAGAGTTCAATATCAGAGATAGAGCTAACATCGATCATCAGACAAACAATAAACGTTTGCCTGACGATCGCAAAAGCGTGAAATCCAGGGTCACAAACTCACATCAATCCAAATATATATATATATATATATATATATATATATATATATATATATATATATATGAGTTTCTTTATAGCTATCTTATTTTGTTAAATATCAGTGTTTAATATCTATCTACCAATCTAAATATGCTTTGTAACTTCGCAGATTTCCTGTTGTATATTTGTACCAAATACAAGTGCCGTCTGGTATCTACACGTTGATGAGAATTTTTAACTCATACAATAATCGTGCCGATTCAAGCAAAAGGTACACCGTGAATTTTATTGTAAGTTTTAGCACGCCTTAGAAAATAAGTCCGATACCGAAAATCATTTCTACCGGCACTTTTATTTAGTACAGAAAAACATCTTAAAGTCATCCCATAAATCTTTTCTGATATTCTTTATTTTACATGGTTGCCTATCATTTTTCAGTTGTTTAGGGAATTTTGATGCAATTCACTGTCACAATCTTCAACCTTTTTTTTCTTTTATCTTTTATTTGATAAAAAGTCTGATCGAATATATTTAAATATTCAATTAGCATCAATGTCCAATCTTTGATATTACGGCTTTATCAAGACCCTTGCGAATCCTCCCACAGCGGCCAACTTTGTTTCTTTGTTCTTTTATGTTCGTTCCAAACTAAACAGATCAATGAATCTGCCTTCGCTCACACAGCAAGAATTCCGGCTGGATTGGGCGTTATACGAGATTAAAAGGAACGCTTTTTATCAACCATGCTAGTCATACGGCACGTAGCCTTGATTATCTACTTAAGATATACATCTGCGCGCTGAGATCACCTTTACTCTTTAGAACTATCTTTCTTCTTCTTCTTCTTCTTCTTCTTATTATTATTATTATTATTATTATTATTATTATACAACGAGAAGGGCGCCATTTTCAGAAAATAAAAAGGCAAGAAAAGACAACGTTTAACAATAGTCGTATGGTCCCACGGGGTAATAATCTAGATATTTATGAACGGGCAATACGACTTGTTATTTTGGCGCGTTTTCAGTATATTGTGCGCTGGGAGTGACATTTATCTTAAATCCTATAGCCATTATATTATATCTTAAATCTTATATCCATCGAAACCAACAAGCTGTCTTTATAATCAGTTATTGCCAGTAAATGGTAATTTTCTATTTTTTTTAAAAAACAGGCCAGTACAGTCAGGCAACAATTCTATAACAATGCAACAGTGTTAACAACTAGTAAACAATGTATTTTTAAATCAAATATCAGAAATTAATGTCAGAGGGAAAAAAGCATTTGTTTCCAGATTTGAGAATGAAGCATCTCTTAGATAATATTTTTTGCAAATTTTCTTCGAACTGTTTGTTTATTTGTCAGTTATAACGGCTAAAATGTGAAAAAAACAAAAAAAACAATGATAATGAAAATATATAATTTCTAATTCTCCCTTGTTAAAATTACGTTCCTACACCATGCCTGGAAAGCATTTTTAAATCATTTTTTTTTAATTATTGCATCCCAAGTAAGGCAATAATGCCACAAAACGCAAAAGAATCAGGAATAAAATTATTAAGGAGAGAGAACAATATTAGAACATTTTATTGATATGCCTAGTTATTTAGTTTATGTTTTAAGATCACGTTATGTTTGATTCAAATAAAAAACTACGCTAAAAACACATTGGGTAGAAGACAGATGCTAGAAAAAGTGTGTTACGAAGACTACACACTGTATCATATGGTAAAGCCTGGCCTACATTTTTTTCGCCATCCAAATTACAGTTTCACAACTGACAGGTGAACAGAAGGAAAATTTTTAAAAAATATATAAAGGAAACGTAAGATAAGCTGCTGTGTCTATTTGATGTCTTGCTCTTTGATTTAATTCCACTCAGACGCGAGTCTTCTGAAGCGAGGTCTTTTCATCAGGCGGCATCATTTGCCACGCTTCAAACAATTCACTCGACGTCTGCGTTGATTCGCTCCTCACGAAAAAGAAGAACGATGCCTTTCACAGTTGATCGCTTGCCCTGTGGCTTCATCATCAAAGGTAGGTAACTCCTCCTTTGCAATTAGGGCCGTGAAGCGAAGTCGACGAAACTATGATTCGGGAGAATTTCTGTCTGAAAGTCAAACATTCATCAGAAATTTATTTCCACCGTTTATCAGGTTACGGTCGCCCAGAACAAACATTTTTTTTTTAAATTGTTGATTTATTAATGTGTGTATGTTATTGAAAAGTTAAATATATCATACCAAGTTTGAGAAGCTGAGGTGCCAATGTGGGATATTTAGATTATCTATGCAAGGTTCTAATACCAAAAAAACAGAAAAAGACTATTTTTTTTTTCTAAACGAATCCGTTCTAAGAATGTACTCCGTCTATGTTTCGATAGATCCATTTTACACTATTCTTCATGAGTAAAATCTGTAAGAAAAACCAGTAGTTTTCGTTTTGCAGGAAAAAGAAACTGTGGGATTTAACTTATAGAACTCATCCCCGACAACTCAAGTAAATAAGCGATACCATTTTCAACTGCAGCATTGATGCGTATAAAGAATAGGCTAGGGAGAAGAACGTTCTTTTAACTAAAGATTTGTTGGAAATATACAGTATTTCTAAATTACGATCTGTTTGGTAAGGTCAATTGGGAGACACAAGTCACGGAAAAAAGTATGATGTTTCGGTGTCTTTTCAGTGGTCCGTGAATTTACGAATCAGCAACGACCAAAAAGGGAAGATATTCGGCTAAAAAAAAAAGAAAAGAGATTCCCGCTTCAAAATCCTTCAATGAGAATATTTGCCGCGTAGGTCATGTGTGTAGAATGCTAGGATAAGGGAGTTTCTTTCACTCCAGACACCATCTCCTTCAACGATAAATTACCAGAAAAAAAATTCCCTACTGATTTTCACTATGCCTGCGAGTCGAAACAGCTATGGGGGTGAAACTTTCCACGTGAACAACCATCCATCGTCGAGTATGAGACTCTGTAACTTAGAAGACCCAATTGCCAACGTTTAAAAACTCTCGGGAAGCGCTAAAATTATCGAACGGTACCATATGTAGGGAATTACATAAGATCTAAACAATGACGCGTTGAGCGAAACAGAAATAGTTTCAGTTGACTAATTGTTCCACTATAAACCATAATTTATTTGTTTGCAAGCTGACCTATACAACTTGTGATATAGAGTATTTTTATTTTTAATGAAATATTACTTCATGACCCATTCGGTTATTGCTCTTCTGATATGATTTCTTGCCATGGCTTTTTCGCATTGCATTTTCAACAATTTCTTATTCAAAGTAGTCTCCCTCTTAGACAGTCTGCCACCAGAGTAGAAAACCTCGCCAGACCTGATATTTTGTCTTAATCAATACCCCCCCTCCAAATAAAAAAAAAAACGAAAAAAGGCGAAAGAATGTGAGAAAACTTTAGATTCGAAAATCCAATGGATAAATCTCTACTCCTGTATCTGTCTATATTTCTGAGATGAGGTATTATGTACACAATTTACATTGTTTGGCCTATCGTCCTCATCTTTGTTGCCATATTTATCACAATGTTTCGGGCTTTATACGCCCCGAACTTCTTCATTTTATTTTGGAATGTCGAACTGAACCCTTTATTTCGCTCACTGGGGTATATATATATATATATATATATATATATATATATATATATATATATATATATATATATATATTTATTTAAAAATATGATTCCAACTCGCGACATAAGAGGTCTCATGTTTCAAAACGAGAGCCGAAAAACTTCAATATAACCAGTTCCTTCCTATTTTCTATATTTTCACACACACACACACACACACACACACACACACACACACACACACATATATATATATATATATATATATATATATATATATATATATATATATATATACCGGATGTATCAGCAAAATTGTCGATCTCACAAAATGTTTAATATTTAAAAAAAAACGCTAAACAAATTGAGTTTCTTTTTTATAAGTTTTCCGATGACGCATTTAGCTATCTTGACACCATTTGTCGTAAGAATTACTGAAAAACCCTTCGCGTTATTCAGCTAGAAAGAGAACAGATTAAAATTGTTTTGTGTCAGACGCACTATCTTCCCAAGTGAGCAATGTTGTCTGTCTATATTTCTGAGATGAGGTATTAGGTAAACTATTTACATTGTCTATAGTCCTCATCTTTGTTTCCACATTTATCACAACGTTTCGGCCTTTGTACGCTCCGGCCTTCTTCAGGTGGTTGGAATGTCGAATAGAACGCTTTATTTCTCTCACTGGGGTAGACTGTTCTATTTCCACGAGCCATGTCTAATGGATGTTAGTTATCAGTTATCTCCTGTTAATTCCCCTCTCCAAGTTCTCCATTGCCTTAAACAGGTATTGAATCCAGAACTCTTTGGGCCCTGTCACTGGTTCTAACTAACTAGACATGGCACGAGCGAAATAAAGGGTCCAGTACGATATTCCAGTCACCTGAAGAAGGCTGGAGGGTACAACGGTCGAAACGTTGTGATAAATATGGCAACAAAGATGAGGACGATAGTCCAAACCTCTACTCCTGTTTAAAGGAGCGTGGAGGAGTGTGAACCGGGCGATAGGTTTAACCCATATCTGAAAAGACAAAGTATATATTTTTTAATTTTCTCAGGGGCATCTGTGCGAAATGAAGGCTGATATTTGACTCTACGTTTTCACTTTTTGCGCCGATAACCGCCACGCTGCCCATACAGCGAGGGTAGGATTTTATAAAGAAATAACTTATTATTTCATTCACTCTCATTATTACACAGCGGGGTGATTTAGAATACTCAGGCGGTAGAGAGAAAAGAATTAAACAGTCACTATTTAGTACTATTTTAATTTGAACTCGGTATGTGAGTGCAAATTATTTAGTAATGATACCCACTGTCATTACCATTACGCCACACAAATTGCATGCATATTTTAACCATTTTCTGCTATAACCCAAAATGTAAATAAATCAACTCGAAGAGAAAACGTCTCAAGATTAGACTCTTTAAAATTGCAAAAAAGCAATTATAGTGAATTTAAGTTCTCGAATTGTTTGTTTCACATTGGAAAGCAGTAAAAACCTATTGTTTCATGAATTTTTGTTTCACCCCAGAGAAAGCAATAAAGCCACTAGGACGCTGTTTTTTTTCCTTACAGAGAACACATTTACTAAGATTTCTGCAAACGGAAATACGACTAAAGTAATATATACTGTAATAAATGAAAATAAGTCATTTATGTCAATTGCAAAGTGTCTACTATAATAACACTGGAAGTAATAAAGATGTATTAAAAATGAATGCATTCATGTCTTAGAAATTACTTGTATAGACTATTTTACGAATCCTACAAAATTAATACTCTCAGTGTCATAGAGGTTTACGTAGCAGTTAAGATTTGTCTCTGAAATTAATGTACTAATATTGTTGTGACTTAGTATAAAGGTAATAAAATAACATATGCAAGTTTTTAAATTAATATCTGGAAATCAATAAAAGGAAATAATATGAAATCAGGCGACGCTGAACGGTCGGGTTCATAAAAGAGTAATTAAAGTGTTAGATTTAATCTGCTGATATGTTGACTCTGATAACTCAATTGGTAGCTCACCAATTGTTAGTAGTTTGCTTGGTTCATTTTGTTAGGTGGCATATCAACATCTCCATGGGCTATCTAATGCGCGAAATGAAAATATTATGAACGCAACTGTATGACTTCAACTACAGATAAAATATATCGTTGGCCATTTTGCTTTAAATAATATATCTGTTAATTTTACTTTAAATAGGTATTGTTGGTAATTTTACTATAGAAACATGTACTGCTTGTATTTTTGGTATAGAAATGTATTTTTTATACTTTTATGGTGTTTTGTTTTTGTTTGAGGGTTTACTATTTGCCCATAGCTGGGACCCTAACAAGTGCTACCACCCCGGGTCAGGTTGGACCTTCGACCAACAACAATTAAGTATCGCCGATCGTACATAGGTCCCTAACACGAAAAGAAAGAGAGCTTGGAAAATTTGATACGCACAAGACAGATTGAAGGCAAGAGGGACAGAGGGAAACAACGCATAGCCCACCCGGCGAGGTTAAGCGAATGAATGATGAAGCAGGATCTGGAAAACATGACAAATAGACAAAATTTATTGAGAGCAACAAAAGACAGGAAAATGTGGAGAGCTATGATTTCCAACGTCCTGAAGGGGTACAGTACACAGAAGAAGAATGTTCAAGGATTAATTTGAGCTTATACTTTATCTCTATCTATAAAAGGCAGGATGTGTGTGTGCGTGCGTGTGTGCGTGTACGCGCGTGTGTGTGCGTGTGTGTGTATGTGTGTGGGTGTGTGTGCGCGTAACGAATGCATGGCCACAATTTTCGACGTATTTGCACCAAAATTTACATGCACATGTTCAAAGTTAGCGGGAAAGCCAAGACCGACTTTGCATTTCCCAACTCCCATCGTTAGTGGAAATAATCGATTTTTTCATGCTTCTATGCCAGTTTTCACGTTGTTTGCAGCCATTTTCTACTGGCCAGAGTGAGAGCCTATAGCTGGCTGCCACGAATAGGCAGGAAGAGTCTATTGGCCAGCGTGAGAGCCAACAGCTGACTGACACGAATGTTAACTAGCATGCTAGCATGCAAAAAATATCGATAGCTGCATTCGTCGCAAGTGAGAAAAATTTAAATCTGCGTGGCACTTTACTCCAATTGGCTCATTCGCTTGCTCAAACTCAACGTTGATTCTGATTCCACAGAACTGGGTTAGGTGTGAAAAAGTATTTGTTGTTAACATTCTTTTTTTATTCGGTTTTTCCAGTTACGAATCCTTTTTTTTTAAAGCTGATCGTTTTGTGTTCATTTTGTTTAGTTCTTTTTTCGTAACAGATTTAATGTTTAGTATAGAGCTTAGAAAAAATTCGCAGTGTGAGATAGGCAAGAAGTAAGGCATGTAGCAACATCAGCACGGCAAAGGGCACTCCTTTCAAGGCAAAGAAAGGGCAA